GAGAGAGCGTGAGTAGGGAAGGGGCAGAGAGAGAGACAGACACAGATTCCAAAGCAGGCTCCAGGCTCTGAGCTGTCAGCACAGAGCCCGACATGGGGCATGAACCCCCCAACCGTGAGATCATGACCTGGGCCGAAGTTGGATGTCCAACCGACTGAGCCACCCAGGTGCCCCTGGAGATGACTTTAAAAAAAAAACCCGTGAACCTGAAGTTGTAACTTGTGACTACCTTAGTCACGGAATGTCTTAAATTTCGATCACGTCTCTCAGTTAAGCTTAGAATCGAATCAAAAGGGAGAAATGTCTAAAAAGAGGGGCACTGGGGTGGCTCAGTAGGTCGAGGATCCGACTCTTGATTTCAGCTTGGGTTATGATCCCAGGGTTGTGGGATCGAGCCCCAAGCTGGGCTCCACGCTCAGCATGGAACCTGCTTAAGATTCTGTCAGTCAATCCCTCTCTCTCTCTCTCTCTCCCTCTGCCCTTCTCCTCTGCTTGTGCACTCTTTCCCTTTCTTAAAAAAAAAAAATAAAGAAAGAGAAAAAAAAGAAATTGCTAAAAAGAAAAGAAAACCCCCAGGCCCCACATGGATCATGGAGTCACTTATGTCAAGGCCCCATATCAGGAAACCAAGACTTCATACCTAACCTAACTGTAGTTTTAACCCTCCCAGGGATGTGACCCTCAACCAGTCAACCTGGGATTACCTGCAGCACTAGAACATTTACGGATAGACTCCTTCTGTTCCCCCTTAGGGAGGTGACCTTACCTAAAACAATACACTCGTTGCTAATAATTTCCTTCCGCTACCCCACCCCCTGCCCTTACAAACCTGTTTCTACAGCTGGACAGAGCTTTTTTCTGTTCGCTAAGTGGGATGCTGCCCGATTCATGAATTGTTCAGTCAAGCCAATTTGATCTTTTCAGTTACTCACATAAATTTTGATTTCACATCCCTAACCCACAGGTGAAGAAAAAGGGGACTTCCGGAGAAGTAAAGTAACTTGCCCCGAAGCCACCCAGACAGAAGTTGGCGGCATCTCGCGCCAGGGCAAGGAACAACAGGTGGGGTCAGCGTCTTGCTGGGCTTCCCAGAACCCAGTGGGACTGCCCAGGGCCTCTCAAAAGCTCAAAGGACCTGCTAGTTTTGGGGCTTCCCCGAACGATCCCTGCCCTGCCCCCCAGAAACCTTAGAGAGCAGCTCTGTGGAAAAAAGGAGGCAGAAAGTGGTGTGGAGGAACTACTGGTCTTTAAGAGGTTCTTCAAGAGAGTGTGACTTTCTCTTAGACAAGACTTGCAGAGGGCAGGAGGAGGAAGAGGGAGGTGGCTGGCGGAAATGATTCCTGGGAAGAGCGGGGGCGGCAGAGGAGGGAGAGGGCGGCTTACTTAGTTTAGTCTTTGAGGCCACAAAGGAGACAGGCGGCAGGGCAGATTGGAAATCCAGCCCCCCACTAAGCATAAGAGGGGTGGGTGGGTGTCGTGCAAATGGAAGGAAGCCACCACGGACCACTGCTGTAGGAGGGAACTTGAAATCAGCCACCAGCCGGAAAGACAGGACGAAAGGGCACAGACACAAGAAGGATCTGGACGCATGTAAGGTGGACAGGTCCCTAAGCTAAAGGGATTTGGAAGCTGCCTCTGTCCAAGAGGTTAAAGAGCTCACATGCACAGGCCCGGGTGTCCAGCCCAGAGAGACCAGAGGGGAAGCCAGGGAAAGATCTGGAAGGATGGGCGATGTGCAGCTGAGGGGCTGCTGCAGATGGTCTGGACTTCTCGCTGCAACAAGAGGCTGGAGACTGGGGGAGAGGGCACCTGGGGCAGAGACTCCAAGGTCAAGAACAGGTCAAGGGTCCCTTGATCCTTCCTGTGAGGGCAGTGGCTCGGCAGTAGCAAGTGTCTAACGACACAAATGATTTGAATCAGAGCACGTTTCACGCAGGAAGGAGCTCATCTGTTGCCACAATCTTCAGCCCTCCCCGCCTCGCACCCAGGAGGGTCACTTCATTTCTATGACCGGCTGGCTCACGTGGGTGCCAGATTTTTGGCCTTTGAGACACCTGCAATGCCACCTTTGGAGACCCCAGGTTGGGGGAGGGGACGAGAGAGGAGGCTGGCGTCCCAAGGGCCCCTAACTTTGCCCAATGCCCTCTCCTCAGATGCTGCTCCTTGGTTCCACGTCTGTACGGGTCCTCGGGGAGGGACTGTTGTGCCTTTAGCGTCTCTGGTACTGCCCATAAATGTCAACAGCGCCCTCTAGTTTTTGTAACAGTCACACATGCCTCCCTGGAAGTAGGGGTGAGATCACTCTAACTGAGAGCTCCTGGAGCCCCTCTTTGGTGCCGGGGAAGTGACTTCCACCCCTGCCAGAATTTTCTCGGCATAGAAGCACGGAGACACAGAAGCCAGTGGCAATGGCTGTTTATTATAACAATGCCCCCAAGTGAGGGAGAGAAGGGAGGGCCCAAGCCTGGAGAGGTAGGCAGCGGGTATGCGTGAGCAGGAAAGTGTGGAGAGCCTCCACAGCCACTGGGGAAGTGGCACTTAATCTTCAGTAGAATATACTCAGAGAGGGAGAGAGACTGGGGGAAATCCAGCCACCAGAAGCTGGCTGGGGAAAAAGAGAAACACTTTGGGCTGGGGGGTGGGGGGGTTGGGCAATGGACGGCCTGGTGCTGGAGTAAGGGGCCCAGGTGCCACTACCTGGAGCCCGTTCCATTGGCAGGGAATGCAGAGCCGAGATCAGTAAGGAGTGCCCTGCCCCTGAGCCCGGAGCCCCGCAGTGGTGGTGGTGGGAGCCGGGCTCTTGGGGCTCCCCTATCCCCACATGGTTGTCTGCAGCCACTGTGGGGAGGAGAGAAGCAGATCCAAGGATGGCAGGGAGGGTGGGGCAGGATGGCTGGGGGAGCAGAGGGCAGGGGGAGCCGTGAGTACCTGGTTCAGATTCAAGCGAATATAGCCAGTGTTCTTGGGGTCCATGGATAGAAAGTATGCTGTTTGGGAGAGGAGGCAAGGGAAGGGGTTTGAGAGCCGAGTCTGGGGTCTGCAAGACCCAATCCCAAAGAAGCAGGAGGTCAGAAAGGGCATCAGAAGCTGTCCCTTGCTGCCGCCAGGCTAACCCTCAGCCCAGGAAGGAATTAATGATAAGAACTCCAAGCCTCGCCATGAGCCACACACAGAGCGTCGCCATGCGTGAAACTCATATGTTCTGTGGCTCCGTCCTATGAGGGCAATACTGTTACTGCCCACATTTTATAGATGAGAACAGAGGACGGAGGCACAGAGAGATAAAGCGACTTGCCCAAGGCACACAGCCAACAAGTGGTGGGGCTGGGATTTGAACCCAGATCGTCTGTGCCCTAAAGAGGGGGATGGTTTGGGAGCAGGGCTCCTCATGTGGGCGTGTGGGAGGCGGCCAGTGGTCCCCGACCCACGGTGGGGAGTGGGCAGATGACTGACTCACTGAACATGGCCTTGAGCCTCAGGAAGCAGCTGATGAAGCTGTCAAAATCCACGATCATGTTATCGTTTGCATACCTGGCCACCAGCACCTGCATCACCTTGTTATTCAGCTTGATGCCTGGGAGAGAGAGGAGTGCGGAGGGGGAGTCCAGCCTCCTGGCCACCGCGTCCTCCCTCGCTGCCCCCAGACCCTCTCCCCTGACCCCCTGCTAACCTGCTTTCTCAATTGCCAAGCGCATCTCATAGGAGTTCAAGCTGCCTGAGTTGTCCTCGTCACACTCTCGGAAGATGTCCTGAAGGGATAGACAGAGGGGGTGTGCATAGCACGGTGGTGGAAATAATGAAATACTTCAGTATAGTTAACCTACAAGGACTACCCAAGACCCCAGCGCTGCCTACCCTGGCCCCCACCCTGAGCGCCCAATATTCCTGTCATCTAGTGACTGTAGGGGGCCTCTGGCAAGGGGAGGGGGCTAAGACCGGAGTCAGGGGTCTGAAAGACCCACTCCCAACTGGGCCCTCTGCACCAGTCCTTTAAACTGGTGATGCCTGGACTATACTGGTTGTTAATCTGACTAGCTAATGCACCAACACTCCAACAGATCCTGTCCTGTGTGTGTGTGTGTGTGTGTGTGTGTGTGTGTCTAGTCAGGGGCTCCAGGTTCTAGCATCGTCCTTACTAATCCCCATCACTCTTGAGGACCTCCCTTTCTCCCCGCCATAAACTGCCCCTTCAGTGTTTTTTACCGTCCATTTCTTGATTTTTTTCCACAGGATCTGGAACTCCAGAAGCCCTAGCTTGCCAGAGCCATCTTTCTGGGGAGGGGGTGGTAGTCAAGGATGCCAGAAGAAGGAGTGAAGAGGGCATCTTGGGGCCAGGGAAGCAGAGAGGCTCGCTGAGTGGGAGACATGAGACCCGGGGATCTTGTGTGGTCACTATGGTAACAGCCAGAAAAACTGGCATCTTTTGCTACCTCAGAGCCTAATCCCCAGCAGGAAGGAGGGCATGCCTGGCCAGAGCGATGGTCACCTGGGGGCCAGGCATGGGGGTAGGGGTGAGGGGCGGGAGAGCACTGGACAAGAAGATACATCCATGAGGTTGACCATACAGCGGCATACATCCAGGCCGAAGCCCTGGGTCCTGAAGTTTCTGACTGTGAGGGAGGGAAGGGGCAGGAAGAGAGAAGGAGGGAGTGGGGCATCGCAGGGGATGCAGGGAGCGGCCTGGGGGGGGGGGTGCAAGCTGCAGGAGAAGGGTTGTGAGTGGCAGGGTAGGGGGGGGTGGAAGACTCACATTTGGTGACCACGTTGTTGAGCAGCTTCTGTAGCTCATACATGCCTATCTCCTTGTCCTAGGAAGGGCGACCATAAATCCCAGCTCTGGCACGTTCCCCCCATCCACCTGCTTTGGGTGCCCAGCCCTCGGCCTCGCACCTCTCCTCCTGCCACTATCCCAAACAAATGTATGAAGTCCTGGTCTACGTCATTCTCACAGAACTTCTCCTGGAGGGAAAGGAGTGGGAAAGGGACCCAGTCAAGAAAGTTCCTTCACATTCCTCAGATGCTTCCTCTGGTCCCTGGACCCCACAGCCTCCCCTCACCTCCTGGAGTAGCTCAGCACAGTTGGCTTCATCCAGTTCCCTGCGCAAAAGTGAAGGAAGGTTCATGGTTATGCGGGATCAGGGAGACAGGGAATTTAGTGGGGTGCTTGTGGGGAGATCATGTCGTGTATCTGAAGCAGCGTGGAACAGGTTCCATGGGATCTGGGTTCTGATTCTGGCTTGCTACTGAGACTCCCCTTCCGTGTGCCTCAGTTTCCCTGATTTAAACTAGGGACAGAGTTGGGGAGGACCAGATGACGGCCCCCTGAGCTTGACATCCTACAGCTCTTGGGCAGGTGGTCTTGGAGCGGTGAGGTAGGGCTCCTCACCAGGACTCGCTGTGCTTTTCTGTGAAGACCCGTAGCAGGAAGTCGGCATCTCTGTGTGGCTCAAAGGTGGAGGGAATGATGACATATTCCCCCGGAGGCAGCCGGAGATGACTGCTCACCTCCCGCGAATTAGTGAAGATCTCTGAGAAGCCATGGTCCTGATACTTTATGAAGAAGTCCTTCTTCAAGCGAGTATCCTGGATGTTCTGAAACTATATGTGCCTTGGAGGTGGGTACAGGGCTGGCATGTGAGTATAGGCAGAGAGGGACCCCAAAAGTGAAGCTTACTTGGGCAAGTCTCCGGGGGAGGCATTACCACAAACTGACCAGTCCTGGATACCACCCAGCTGGCAGGTAACCAAAGTATCCCCTGCCCGACTCCCTACTCCTTGATCTCCTGCCCTGACTCCCATCCGGGGCCCCAACGCAGTAGAATCCTAACCCAGTAGCCCTGAAAGCCCTTGGCTGAATTCTACCCCTTGCCCATCCACATGCAGCCAGAGGTGGGGCAGTGCCTGCCCAGAATCAAGCCCATGTCTTCTGTACCTCCTTTGGGACCTAGGAAGAGAAGAGAGAGGAAGGCCAAACTCCCAGGATGGTGAAAGGGCTCAGGCCTGTAGAAGTCAGGCAGTGTGTGTGTGTGTGTGTGTGTGCACGCGTGCACATGTGTGTGTGTTGGGGGTGTTACAGCGGGACACTGGTGGTGGTGGGGGGCATAGGTTCTGACAGCCAAAAGTCCTAACGTTAACATTAATAATCCCTCAGTTTTGGACAACAAAGCATAGTTTACACAAAGTTTTGCCAGGGGGAGGTTTTTATCCCTGCAGGTCAAGGATAGGAAACCGAATCCCAAGAGGTGAGGTAACGTGCCCAATTTCACACTGCTAAAAAGTGAAAGAGCTAGGATGAAAGTCGAGGAGAGCGTTTTCCAGAACACGAGCATTTTCCATGGAACACTTGTATCCTGCAGTAGTTAACAGGTGATTATTGAAACTGGCCATTGAACACAAATATGTTTGTAAAAAGGTGAGTTAAGCCAAGATAAGTAGGTTGTAAGGGATCCTGGGTAGCTCAGTCAGTTGAATGCCCGGCTCCTGATTTCGGCTGAGGTCACGATCTCACGGTTCGTGAGTTCGAGCCCCACATTGGGCTCTGCGCTGGCAGCACGGGGCTTGCTTGGGATTCTTTATCTCCTGTCTCTCTCTTTCTCTCTCTCTGTCCCTCCCCTGCTGTCTCTCTCTCTGTCTCAAAAATAAATAAAATAAACAAAAAAGATTAAGTGGGTTGTTGCCCTGTAGGGATGACAAAAACCCATAGCTGATGCCCTGTAGAGCCCCAGGTGGGAGGTAGAGTATATACCTTTCCTGAAGGACCACAGCTAACCTTGGAAATATATATATATTTTAAATGTCTTGAGTGTTTCTTTATTCTTTAGACAGAGAGAGAGAGAGAGAGAGAGAGAGAGAGAGAGAGAGTGTGAACGGGGAAGGGGCAGAGAGAGAAGGAGACACAGAATCTGAAGCAGGCTCCAGGCTCTGAGCCGTCAGCACAGAGCCCGATGCAGGGCTCAAACTCATGAACTACAAGATCATGACCTGAGCTCAATTCAGATGCTTAACCGACCGAGCCACCAGGCACCCCTAACCTTGGAAATATCTTCAGGCATGTCTGGTGGGCTCCCAGCCTAGGAGGAAGGCAAGGCTTATGTCTCTCTCTCTTTTTTTTTTTAAGATGAAGTATCTTATAATTTTTAAAATGTTTTTATTTATTTTTGAGACAGAGAGAGACAGAGCATAAGCAGGAGAGGGACACACAGAATCCAAGGAGGCTCCAGGCTCTGAGCTGTCAGCACAGAGCCCAATGCGGGGCTCGAACTCGTGAACTGTGAGATCATGACCTGAGCGGAAGTCAGATGCCCAACCGACTGAGCCACCCAGGCGCCCCTTGTGTCTCTTTTTGTTCACTATTGGACCAGTGGAGATTGGACTGGTGGCTGGGTAACTATTCGAACAAATTGTCATTTATAGGATTTCGCAAAGCACAATTTCAGAAATGTGGTCAGGGATATCTCTTGGCTGCTGGAGTCAACGCTCTGGGTGGTGTGTCTGGGCGGGTGTGTGTGTGGGGGGACACCTGGGGACAATGTGAAGTCTCAGAACACCTGGGAATCAGGACATAATCTGCTTCTGAGCCTTGGGTGTGTGAGCTTGGGCAAGTAACCTCACCTCCCTGGCGCTCTGTCTCCTTCCTCTTCTTGGAAGGCGTTACTATTCATTAAGGCCTCTGGCAGGGTCTTGAAGGGGGTGAGGCCAGGAGAGGGAGCAAGAGTGGCTGGGGGAGGTGGTGGAGCACCCACCGAGTAGATGACAAATCCAATGGTCTGCAGCTGGGCTCCGAGGGGCCGTGCCCGTCGCCAGTTCTTCTGCATCAGGGCCACCAGGCAGGTGCAGACAACTTCGTCGTCCTCTGGGTCGTCATCCCCCTCCGGGAGAGAAATCCTGAACTGGGGGTTGGTCCAGAATGTGTCTGTGGAAGAAGCAGGTCAGCATGGCTCTGCCCTTCCCAGGGTGGACCGGCTTCCCGGCCACACACCTGCCTCCTCGGCGGGGCCTCGTGGGATCTGCCGGTCCCCTGACCCCTTCGCGGACCCCGAATCCCCTCACCCACCGGGGTGGTTCCTGCAGCCCCCCGCAGTGCTGCCCCGCCGCCAGCTGCCCTCGCAGAAGGTGGTGTGCCAACAGCCCCTGTCGTCCCAGGAGAGCGTGTCAGGCGTCAGGTTGCAGATCTCCAGGAGCGTGAAGTTGTCCAGGAAGTCTTGGTAGGACATCCTGTGGTGGAGGGCACAACGGCTAGAGCCTGTGGCACCGTCACACCCAGAGGCTCCCCCTCAGAGCCTCCCCATCAAAGGCAAGGGTGGGAGGGCGGCAGAGGAGATGAAGGGACGGGCGTGGGGGCAGAAGGAAGCCCACCCAAGCTGCACTGACCAGAACTCCCCATCTTCCCTCTTCTGAAGCAGCTGTTTCTGGGTTTCTGGGGCCACTTTGTCCCACTCGCTGGCACTGGATCAGAGACAGGAGGTGGAAGGAGAAGGGCAGGGCTCAGAAGGTATTTTGTTCCTCCCCAAGGGATTCCCTCCCCGCTGAACTCCGGCCGCTGGGGGTCCTGAGTTAGAGGGAAAGACACTAGTGGGGAGGGGCTGGTCCTGGGACGCCAGCGGGTCCATCTGTGACACTGCCTGGCTCGTGGGCCAGCCGTGAGCTCTGCTCCTCACCTGACAGTGCTGCTCAGGGGCACCTACTTGTCACTCCAGGCTCCATTCCACTCGATCCGGCCCCAGGGATTCCGGACCCGAATCAGGGTTTCCGTCCTGCCTCTGTAGAAGACCTGGCGGAAAGGGTGTGGTGGCAGGGGTGTGGCTGAAGGTCCCGGGGCAGGAGGGACTGTCCTCCTTGTTCTGTGTCTCCAGGTAGGGTGCCCTTGGCAGACTCACATCATGGAGGCCGGTCACGGAGTATGCGTGCCCTTTCACTAGCATCCTCTGGGTCATGGCCTCCAACTCACTGTCGCTGGTGACCTACAGAACAGAGAGGAAAGAAAGGAATTCAGGATCCGGTCAGATGCACCAGGGCACCCGAAGAGATGTGAGGACTCTTGGGGTCCAGGGTTTTTTTTTTAAGTTTATTTATTTTGAGAGAGAGAGAGAGAGACAGAGAGGCAGGCAGAGGGAAGGAGAGAGAGAATCCCAAGCAGACTCCATGCTGTCAGTGCAAAGCCGGACTCAAAACTCCATCCCATGAACCGTGAGATCACGACCTGAGCCAAAATCCAGAGACAGACGCTTAACCGACTGAGCCACCTAGGTGCCCCCTGGATGGCACAGTCGGTTAAGCGTCCAACTTCGGCTCAGGTCACCATCTCGCGGTTCCTGAGTGCGAGCCCCGCGTCGGGCTCTGTGCTGACAGCTCAGAGCCTGGAGCCTGCTTCCGATTCTGTGTCTCTCTCTCTCTGCCCCTCCCCTGCTTGCACTCTGTTTCTGTCTCTCAAATATAAATAAACATTTAAAAAATCTGTCATTTCAAGCCTGCCATGTGAATGGATTCGTACAGTATGGAACTCTCTTGGTTTTCCCCACGCAGCATAATTCCCTTGGGATTCACCCAAGTAGTTGCATGTATTGGTAGTTCATTTCCTCTTATTGCCGAGTTATATCCCATGGCCTCTGGGCACCGCAGTTTAACTATTCACTCCGTGAAGGACGTCTAGACTGTTCCCAGTTTCTGGCTACTATGAACAAAGCCGCTATGAACATTTGTGTGCCGGCTTTCATGTGCTTGTAAGTCTTCGTTTCTCGGGGTTACATGCCCAGGGTGCAAAGGCAGGGTCGTACGGTTCCACCCCGGGCTCATTTATTTCTTTGAATAAATATTTGCTGGGTGTCTCTTGCATATGCCAGGCAGCATCCTAAGTCCCAGGATCCGGCAGTGAATGAGACAGGTGACTGCCCCCATGGAATACGAAACTGTCGGGAGAAGATAGGCTGGGAACAACTATATTGATAAGTGAGACCATTTCAGATCACAATACATGCTGGGGGGAGAATAAAAACAAAGTAGAAAGCAAAGGGAGGTAGGAGCAGCTGGTTTAGAGTGGGAGGTAGGGAAGAGAGGCCTGAGGAAGGGGCATTTGAACTGAAATGTGAATGAGAAGGGGCTAGTCGCGCAGCTACCTGGGGGAAAGAACCATCTGGGTGAAAGCAACCGCAGGTACAAAGGCCCTGAGGCAGGACCCAGTATGGCTTACTTCGATGCAGCAGCCCATGAGGGAGGATCGCTCTATGGCCTTCCTAAGAATCCTCAGCAGGTTCCGAGGGGGCTTCTGGAGTTGGAGGCTATAGGTCACGCCCCCTGTGAAGTCTTCAAAGCCCTCTACTGTGTTGCCCCCCGACAGAGCTTCATAGGACCCATTCAGCCTGTGGGCACAGAGAGGGCACTTTTATGCTCTGGGTTAGAGATGCCAGCTTGGACACGAGTGGGTGTGGTGAGGGCAGGAAGGGATGCCCTGACCTCCATCTGCCTTTTCCCCTGAGTCAGCTGCCCCCATAGCTGCCAGTTGTTGGGCAGGCTTGGAGGCAAGCCCAGGCTTGGGGCACTCACTTGGCATATGCCTTCTCCAGCAGGGCACTCCAGAACTCAGCGCGCTCAGCAGAGTGCACGAACACCAGCTTGCCATTCTTTGTGGGCAGCCGGTCATCCACCACCACGTCCATCCATTGTCCAAACTGCCAAATCTGTGGGCAGCAAGGTGGACCTCAGTGGGGCTTAAGACACGTGTGTGCCCCCGGCCATCCTACAAGCACATGCGTGCGTGTAGGCACACACCCTCACACCCACCCCACCCCCGCTGCCGTATATGAGAACTGTGTTACACGAGCACCTCCTGGTGGCCAGGATCAGTGACACGCCAGTGTCAGAGAGCCCACTCCCCAGAAGGGCTGAAAAGTGAGTGAAAAGCTATGAAAAGCCTGAAGGTCACCCCAAGCCTCATCTCCAGTTTCTGCCTTGGGCCCCAGAGGGACCCCACCCACATTTTGACCTTGGCTGGGCTTTAGGATTTTAAATTTGGAATTAAAAAAATTCTTGTGATTCTCAGAAATATTTTGCGACACGGGCAATGTGTCTACATGTCGCTAAGTTTAAAGAGCAGATTACCAAAACTATGTGACAGCGACTCCCAATGTCATACACACGCACACACATTCACACACACGCGTGTGTTCTACCAACAGGAAGAGACAGAGAGGGAGAGGGAGAGAAGCAGGAGAAGGAGGGCCACCAACAACAGATCATTATTATTATTTTCTTTGAGGGCTTCAAAAAATTAGCTTACGTGATTTCTTTAGTGACCAGATATTTCTCTGATAATTAGACAAAAATCCACCCTAATAAATGTCATTTTTCACAAAGAAAAAATGTAACTTCAAAGCAAATATAATTCTTCTTCTTCCTCCCTACCCGCTTTGTCTCTGTCTCTGCCACACATACACACACACACACACACACACACACACCACAAAACAACTCTGGCTTTCAAATCATCCTTCACCTGAAAATGGAAAATGCCTGCATAGTTTTTCTTGAAGCTCTGCCCCTTGGGTACCACACGGTACAGCAGTTTGGGGCAGGTGGTGAGGGAGCCAATGGCAGCCAGCAGCCAGCAGTCCCCTGGAAAGACAGGAAGGGGGTTGCCTCTCCTGTACTCCCAGGAACTGACTCTGTGGCCCCCTCCCTTAGCCTTGTCACTAAGAAGTGTTCAGGAAGGAATCTAGTAGGGGAGAAACAGGGCTGAAAGAACAGGCTCTGGCGGGGGGGCGGGGGAGGTGAGCCTCTTTACCTTCTGTATTACAGAAGAGATTCACAAATTAGAGCTGGATGCTTTTGGTTTCAGATTTGGGGAGGAGGTATTTGGCTTTCGTCTTGCTTCTCACTCTGGGATATACTTTCTTTGGGAAAGAGCCAGTTTTCTACCCCCTTCCCCCCCTGCCCCCGAACAAATCCAGTCACCTTTCCCCATGCCCTGCACCCTTCTACGCCATGATTACATTAGTGTAGCAATCAAGACATCTCTCCCTGATATCAGTCACGTAACACCAGACACCCAAGGGGCTTAGTCTGTAGCCCAGCTAGGTCCCCGGGGCTAGGCATCGATGGGGCACAGGGGCAGTAACTCTGGTTTGAGGTCACCCATCGGGTTCTCTCTCCTGGGTATCTCAGATGTCCTGGGGTGGCCATGGGGCAGGGTGGTAGCCTGAGTGAGTGTCCTGGGC